CCCCCAGGAACGGCAAATTTGTGCTGCTGGACGGTGATAAGATCGCGACCCTCTCTGCAGTCTTCCTGCGCTCGCTCCTCTCCAAGGTCAGCACCAGCACCCGCCACGCCCACACCGCCGCAGCGGCAGAGCCGCTGCGACGACACCCATGGTTTTGAGGGCGCCGGCAGCTGTGGCGGCAGCCATTGCCTGCCTTCTGAGCTTGTTCTCACCCCCAAAGATATTATCACCCTCTTCTCTCAACCTCCCCTCCAACACCCCTTCCCCCCATAGGTACCCGCGGGCCTGATCGCCCCACCCGTGCGCATCGGCGTCGTCCAGACCGCCTACGCCAACGGCGCCTCGACCGACTACATTTCGAAGACCCTCGGCCTGGAGACCGCCTGCACGCCCACCGGCGTGAAGCACCTGCACCACGTGGCCAAGGAGTACGACGTCGGCATCTACTTTGAGTCCAACGGCCACGGCACCGTGCTGTTTGACCCCGCGCTGGTGGCGCGGCTGAGCGCGCTGGACGAGCAGGTGCGGGCGCTGCGTGCCGGAGGGGGTGCAAATTCGTTGGCCTTGAGGGGGCTCAACAGCAGTGGTTCTGGTGCGGCTGGGTCGGCTTGGAATGCACCAGCTGGGGCCCTACAATTTTGACGGGCAAGGGTGAATGGATTCAAGGCGTGAGGGCAGGGGTTGGCTAGAGGTCGAAGGGGGCGAGGGGGGCGAGGCTGGGACTTATGAGGGCCAGAGGGCAGGCAGCCGGGGCGTTGATGTGGCGTTTGAACGCTGTAGAAGAGCCCTGTTTTGCACCTTGACGGCGTGGTGATGGCCTCGCCCTTGCTGCCGGTGCTGCAAGGCAAAACTGGCAGCGGACGGCGCTGCACACCCACACTCTCTCACACAATAAGACGTGCACACATACACACACACACACACGCACGCACACACACACCTCTTTCCCACCCCCCATCTCCCCCACCGCCAGGTCGCGGTGGTGCACATCCTGGCAGTCAGCCGCCTCATGAACCAGGCCGTCGGCGACGCCATCTCCGGCCTGCTGCTGGTCGAGGCCATCCTGCGCTGCGGCACCGCCCTCGAGGCCTGGGAGGCGCTCTACTCCGACCTCCCCAGCCGCCAGACCAAGCTCAAGGTCGCCGACAGGTCCGCCATCACCACCGCCGACGCCGAGCGGCGCTGCGTGGCGCCGGAGGGGCTGCAGGCGGCGATCGATGGGGTCGTGGCCAAGGTGCCGCGCGGGCGCGCGTTTGCGAGGCCGTCGGGGACGGAGGACGCGGTGAGGGTGTACGCGGAGGCGGAGACGCAGGAGGCGGCGGACGCGCTCGCGAGGGAGGTGGGGCGGGTGGTGTACGACCTCGCGGGAGGCGTGGGCGAGCGGCCGTGACGCGACGGTGGCGCGCGGGGGTGTGAGCGGCAGCCGTGCCGGCGGCACGGCGCGGCCGCGATTGCCCCGGCGTGGGGCTGGGGGGCAAGTTGTGGCTTTGGCAGTTCTCATGTGCGTCTGGGTAGAGCAGGGTGGGGTGTCCGTGGGCTCGGTCTTTTTCCGAGCACGTCAGCTGCAGGTGTGCCGTTACACTTTCGTGGCTGTTGCAGTGGCCGGCGCGGATATCAAAACAACAACCGTTTTCAGTGACCTCTTGGAGCCTCACACGATACAAATGCAGGGGTTCGAAATACTTGCATTGGCTGCCCGGCTTTGAATTGTCCGGTGTCCCTATGATCGCACCCGCTGTGTGTTGGCGGCGCTGGTTCATGCATGCAAGCGTGCGGCGGCAGGCGCTCGGCAGCCATTCACACCAACGGCTTCAAACCTGCTTGCTCTTCCCTACTCTCTCTCATAGCTGTGCGTCACACGGGATCGCCGCCCGTAGCCTGCCTGATGCCCAGCAAAAGCGATTTAACTGATGATGACTGCGTGCCCCTGTGTTGCAAACCGCGTTGGATACCAAGAGGACAGGGCATGATTGCCAACCTGGTCAGGATTCACGCCAAGGGCGGGCACCTTGGGTCTGTCCGGCTGTTCTCGGGCATGTTCTCACCCGCGCCACGCACACACCGTTCAAAGCGTGAACGGCATCTTGCGAAGCCGACAAGTGACGTCACTCTGGCAGCTGAACGCAGCTGCTGGCGGCCAGCACAAGGCAGTTCGCGGGTCTTAATAATCACATTGGTTCCAAGGCACAACGCGTCTGGGTGATCTTAGAGCGGGCGTTCAGCTGGTCCCTGGCGTGACACAGCCGCCGCCTGCAGGGTGCAAGTGGTTGTGCGTGCATGGGTGCATGATCTGGCGGCTCAACACAGGCCTTGCCAAGTAATTGGAACTGCTATGATATGACAGGCACTGCCAAGCAACCTGGGAATGCAAACTGTGATCCATGTTTTTGAATTGAGGACTCAGAGAGGTTTGGTCTGCTGCTGCACTCGAACGAGTGTCACAAGGCAGAGGCAGCTTCTGAGTCTTGGAGGCAAGAGGCTGACGCAGCCTGGGATGGAGCCTTGTTGTTTTTGTAGAAAGCAACGTGATTTCGGACCTCTCTACGCGGGTTGCATTTGAAAGTGGCCTCGATCACCGAGGCCCTGCGGACCCTCTCGCGACCTAGCAGCGATTTACGAGCGCTGCCTGATACGACATCAACCAGCAGCGGGACTCCGTACCCTGATTGTCGGGCTCAGCAGCGCTCGAGCGCAGGTGAGAGGTCCTTAGTGGCGGGCGGTGGGCGCGCACCTGCCGTGCTGCTACGCGCAAGGAAGCCGCGCATCCAGCGGCGTGCGAACGGCCGGCCTGCTCGGCGCCGCCTGCGCAGCAGCAGGTTTGCGCAAACAAGCGTCAGCCCTGTGTGTTCTGGGTGTGCGTTGGCCCAATTTTGCATCCTGCATGCGCCGCGGGCGACTATGCGGGTCCAGCCGCATGCGTCGCGGTGACGCCCATTGGCCTGCGCATGGCACTGCGGCCTGGACACTCTCTCGGCCCCATCCAACATGCATCTGCCTTTTTCGACATCCAGGTGTCGCAGTAACCAGGGCCGCGCACGCGGGGCGCCCCTGCGCCATGGCGGAGGCCGCAAACGGCGAGGATGCCGCTGGCGCGGCAGTGGCGGCTGCGCCCGACATCATGTCTCAGGCGGCGCAGCTGCAGGCGGCGGAAGCCATCCGCTTGCAGGTGATGGGTCGGGCATGCGAGCCTGCTGTGCCATCCTCAAACCCCGCAATCTGTGCCACCCGCAAGCCTGCGAGCCGGGGCTGCTTGCCTCCGCAGGTGCCGTCTGCTCTGCTGCAGTCTATGCTGCTGCACCACGCGCCTGAAACGAGGTTACAGCGCCGCGCAGCCTGACGCCGGCCTCTCCCTCCCTCTCCTGCCGCCCGCCTGTGCTCGCCTGATGCTCATCGGCTCTCCATTCAGATGGAGGTACGCACCGGCGTGCACGGGCCGACACGTCCAACCCGCCTTGCAAGTTGGGGCACCGCGCGCAGGCGTCGAAAGCAGCGCCCCGACGGACACCGCCCGCCGCACAGCTCACCAGCTGTCGCTGATCTGTTTACGAATGACCTCCTGACCCCGCAGGAGTACGTCCGAGGCCGCATCCGCCAGTTTGCGAGGGACTTTGCGAAGCAGGTCGCCCCCAACATGGCGCCCGACGCGGTGGACGACGCGGCCAACCGCGTCATCCTGGGCGCGGCCGAGCCCGCGGCGCTGCTGCCGCTGGCGGCGGGGCCGGCGGCGCCGGCGCTGCAGGCGGGGCAGGGGCAGTACCGGCTGGAGTTTCGGCACGAGTGCTCGTGAGTGGGCGGCGGGCGGGGCGGGCGGCCGAAGCGGCTGAAGGAAGGGGCCATGCTGGGTTTCGCGAGGCTGCAGAGCTTGATTGGGATGGGATCCTGCAGCGCTGGCATTACCCGCTGTCATGCTGTCTGGTGCAGGTTTTGCACGGCCGCCGACCCCGTCTGCAGCAGGGGCAAGATCATTGCGCGGCCTCTGCCCCCGCCGCGCTGCGCGCAGGGCCCTCGGCTGCCGCGACGGCGAGTGCTCTCTCTGCACCTTCAACCCCCACCGCGTGTGCGAGCGCAACTTTCAGAAGAAGTGAGGGGCAGTGCGTTGGACCAATTAGCAAAATACCAGTCCCCTGCGGGCAGCGGCCGCAGGCAGTGCGTTGGACCCCAGCGCTGTTTGCAGCGGCGGCCGGCCGAGGGCCACCTGGATGGGCCGCCTCAAGCGGGCCATGCCACTTGCCAACATGAACGCCGCCGCCATGCACGCCTGATCTTTCGACAATCGGCGACCTCGGAAACCGCTCCCTCAAACGACCCTGCCCGCCGCGCTGCCCTGCCCTTGCCCTCGCGCTTGCCGACACAACCCCGCAGGTACCTGGTGGGGGACCCGCTGCGCGCCAAGTGCGGCGCCAGCATCCGTGTAGAGCTGGTGGACATGGCCGGCAGCCCCGTCACGCAGGACTACCCAGACCTCACGTTTGAGGTGCGGCCGGCCGGCGTTGGCGGGTGGGGGTGGATATCTGGGCACATGTGCTGACGTGGCTGGCTGGTGCCTTACTAGGAACTTCGCAACTTTGAGTCCTGAAATCCTGACTAGGATGGCTGTCAGTGCGAGCTGCGAAGCGATTGGCCGGGCTGGGCTTTGTTAGGGCAGGAGGGGGGCCGGAGTGTCAGCAGTCCGCCCAAGGGTGGGAGCGTGTTGGCCTCTGCGGAGGCTGACAGACAGCCAGCCTGGTGCTGTTGCGACTGCTGCTACATGAACTTCCCATGTCACCAGTCATGTCCGTCGCTGGCTGGCTCTGGGAGGCCCTGGCCTGCCCCATTACTGGCCAACCCGCTCACACTCACCCGCATACACACAAGCACTCACGAGCACACACACGCACACACACACACACACACACACACCCACACAAAACACCGTCCAGCTGACCCTACTCGATGGGGTGGCCTTCAAGGACAAGGGGGGAGAGGCCCGCCTGCTGGGAGACGAGGAGCTGCGCAATTGCTTCAGGCGCGCCCGCCTGGCCGCCTGCCGGCCGCCAGCTGTTCCCCTGGGCCACTGGCAGCGGCGCTGGGTGCCCATTCTGGCAGCGGAGACGCGTCGTCACTGCAATTCAAGCAGCGAGGGGGCGCGGGATCCATGCTTGTCTGGGATGCCGCGCCGCGCCGCGCGGCTGGTCCAGTTCCGGCCCCTCGCTGCTTAACGGGACTCCGCGCGCCACCCGCCCCCTACAGGCTCTCAAACCATAAAGACGACCCCCTGCTCGCCTACAAGGCCGGCGGCGGCGCCCAGGGCGGGGGCGGCGGCGGCGCCTCCGCCGCGTCCGGCGGCGCCGCGGGCTCTCGCTACTCGGTCCAGCTGCGCCTGGAGGGCGGCACCGCGCTGCTGCCCGACCTGACCGTCACCGACAGCTCCGAGGCGCTGCTGCAGGGCCGCCGGCCGCCGTTCCGGCTGCTGGTGTGGGCGCCCGACGGGCTGGGGGGTTTTGACCACTCTGTACAGTATGCGGTCAGCGACGACTTTGTGGTGGCGACGCGGCGCGTGAAGCAGGCCAACAAGGCGGACATCCCCATGATCAACGACCACGTGTCTAAGATAGAGCACATTGGTGGGCGTGTGCAGGGCTGCGGGCGCAGGGCCCAGCAGGGCGGGGCGGGCGCGCGGCAGCGCAGGGCGGAGGCGGCGGCTGGGGCCGGGGTGCTGTTGGGCGCTGTGGATGGCGCCACGGGCTGTGGGCGCGGGCTGCAGGACGGGCTTCCAGGAGACGCGCAGCCGCTTCCTAGCTCGTCGCCCGTCGCGCCGCGCCCCTCCAACCTCCCCCGCCGCCGCGCGGCGTTCGCTCGTCTGGGCGTCTCGCACACCCTCAGTGCGCCGTCGGCCCACGCCCCTGGCGCCCCCCCGCCCCTGCCCCCGTGCCCAGGCCGGGAAACTGTGAAGAAGCTGTCAGACATGCGGGTGGCGGCACAGGAGAGCGGCGTGGACATGCAGATCGACGAGAGGATGGCGCGCATAGAGACGGGTGGGCGGGCGGATGGGGTGTGCTGAGGGGGCCGTGAGAGGCGGGGAGGGGTGCTCGGGAGCGGCGAGGGCTCGCGCAGGGGGCGCGTGTGGCTGAAGGGGCGCGCTTTGTTCCTGAACAGGGCAGGCTTCAAATAAGCAGGTGGGCCCCACATGGCACGCCGGGGCCCCACCTCCGGCAGCCCTGCGACTGCAGCTGCGCCGCCGCGTCCCGTGCCACGCAACTCCAGCAACCGCGCACCGCTCGGCCAGAACGCCTCACGCCCCCCTCCCCCTGCGCCGCGCACCCC